GCAACTATGAAATGAGCAGTGATTTCATTATTTATAATGCAGTAACTGCGGAACGGACACATAACGGACACGTCTATTAACTGCCAGCATCTGGCCTCGACTTCTTTAGCTAATGATGAATTTTTGACCAGAAAAAAGACTAGTGTTCCAGATATCACCAATGAATTATTTGTTCCTCTAGAGTGTACGGCCAACTTTCTGCCTACACTTCTCTTTGTACCAAAGAGTACACTTAACCCCTATCGTGTGTGCCAGAGACGGCGACTTCATACTAATGGGGCGAGGAGACTTGGATCACGCGGTTTCATTCCCGATCCCCTCAGCTCTCTCGGGGGTTGTATCTGCAAGGGAGGCGGGGCTACGATCCACTTTCCGTTGGCTGTCTTTTATGTTTTTCTTTCTTCACGCCATTGTTTCTGTGTAGCAATAGTACTCAGCATACCACTTAACGTGTTAGCTATAAGCTTTCGTTTTGTTGTCCCATATCATCATTGCACTTCCGATTAGAAGTCGAGGTGTCCGCAGCTTTGCGTGACTGTCACTAATGTCGCGAAAGATGAAGTTCACCAGGTATCAAAAAAATATGCGATTCCTCGTCAATTACATAGTTATAGATGAAACATTTGTTTTCATAAAACGTGAAGTAGTGATGAGCAGGAAGCTATATCCAGGTTTGCATTTAAACCAAAGTTTTGGGGATACAGTTTAGTTCAGTTTTTCTGTGGCGTGAAGCAGGCGTCGTTTAAATACTCTTTTCTGAAACTTTGAGTTTTCTTAATTGTATGTTTTTCCAGCACCATGTGCTAAACTGCAGCAGAATATCTAAGTTTCGAGTCGGGGGTGGGCATTAGAGGTTTTTAAACGATTGTTTCCTTTTTCATTCACAAATTGAATCATTCAAAGGGACGCGCTAGAACAATTTCGAAGGCACTGGCGCTTAAAAAACACGTCCCTGGGGCCCCTGGTTGGCCCCTGGCCCTTGCTGAAACGACTAAACTGGGACTTCCTTGAAGATACATTTTTTTTTCATTTAGTGTACCTTGGTACATAAGAACTTTTCTTAATTACAGTTTGTTTGTCCGAAGTTGTCTCTGGTCATTTTAGGTGTGGTATCAGGGCAATCATTTCTTTTGGCTCTTGTGTGAAGTGGTCAGTCAGTATTCAAAAACCAGTAAGAAAGTAACCAAATTGTAAGGTTTAATTAAACATTACGGTACTGTTGCGTGTTGACTTTACATTGTTCTTTCAGTGAATGACTGAATGGTTGGACCAATTATGCACAGCAGGTTTCGTATTATGTTGGTAATAAAACATGACAGTGAAACAGTGTGTGAATTTCAGAAAACGTGCATAATTTCAGAGGTTTGAATAAAACTTTGTCTCAAGACGCCGAGCTTGTCCCATTAATAACAATGGGGCATAATTATTCTCTGCAAAAGGGAAACGGTAGAAGTTTTAGTTGACATTTTTTGGATACTAATTAATAATATGAAAAACACTAGAGAAGCAAACTATTTCTTTGAAATAGTTTACGGGATTTGTGAAGGAATTTGTGAAAGCAAAAAATCGTCTTGTATTATTTGCTAAATTAACATTTTTATTGTATATTCAATGCTTGAATTCGGCCTGATATTATGACTGAATTGCAATAGACCACTCTCAGTGCGCCCTCTCTCGGTCCAGCTCAGGGCTCATAGACCACTCTCATTTTGCTACATGTATGGGCGGCCAAAGCTTACAGAAATATCACCTGTTGGTTGGTTTCGGTTTATCTCAAATTCGTTCAAAATGGACGTTTGCCCCATTCATTTCAAGTAGGGTTGTAAAGTAGAACGTGTATTATTACCTGGTGTTCTGAAGTGATAGCCACGTGGGATTTTAACACTTTTGTTGAATTATTCGTTACCTTTTGTACCGACGGCTAACTATAGTTTTAGCAGTCACCTGTAGGGAAAATACGACGTGTGACGTCAAAAGAGCAGACCCGTTTAGAACAGACTGGGTGCGTTCGAGCGATACTCCTGAGCGCTTAACGGGCTGGAATAGAGCTCGCGGGTAAGCTGACAGGGCCGGGGGAGTACGTTGTATACTCCTGCACCATAATGCGCACGCATCCTACTCGTGTTGACGGGAGTAACCGCACGAACGCAACCTTGCTCCCCTAGAGACAAAAGAATCTTGCAACGAACATTTGAGGCAACATACCATGTCATTTCTAGACTCAGAGGAATTTATTAGTATCTCATTTAAACACTGGTAAAGTACACGCATGTATATGTGTTGTACGTGTGTATATATTACATCAATAGTACAAGCAAGCCAGAGGAAATGTGAATTAAATAACATTAACAATGTCATTTATGCCCCAGTCCATTCGTTTATCAATAAATACTGGCATCGATCGACGATTCATTCAAAAATACACTCGGGAGCAAAGAGAATGTCTGTTAGACTGAAAGTAGGCTAAATGAAACAGTTTCCGTGGTTTCCGTCAAGAACAATAATCCTGCACGATTACTGATTGAATTTTGTGGACACAAATTTGATTTTAATACCCGTTGATGATGTATTTCTGGTTTCCACAGCGGAAGACAAAATTCAGTTCATTTTGCGCTGTAATTACAATGTTGATTTAATTATATTTAATCCTCAAAATGTCATTACCCTCCAGTTCAAACAACAGGTGTAGTGTTGAGTGGATCAGTTCTCCAGGTTTTCACCAGGTACTTTGAAAAACTCATTAGTGGGGAGATATTAAACGTTTGCCACCTTAGCCAGGATTGACCCGTAGATTTCCAGGACGGGTACAATACACATATCAAAGGATTGCTGAATCAAATAAAAGCGGAATATCAATGGTTCAATGAATTCTCATGGTATTGGATTCATGAGTCTGCAGTTGAGCACCGTTTCAACATAGTTACACTAATTGCATTGAATGTCGTTTAGGAAGCGAGAGGCCATTTCAGAAAGTTCACAATAATGGAAAAATGTTTACCTCGTGACAATCATTCAGAGTGATGTTGTCATGAAAAGAACACACTCGAAGTGACCATGAAATGGAAATATTTTACTAAATTGTACTAAAACCCTTGAAATTGAATCTCCGAGTTTCAATTAACCTGATTAAAAAAATTCTTGTTCTTCAATTTTGGAGCTTTTTTGGTTTTAAGCTAATGCAAATTTGCATATTCATGAGCAAACTATGATGTCATCCAATAAATCGAGCCTCAATGTTGCACTGATTTGTGCAGAGAAAATTTCTAGATTCTTTTAAACACTGTTATCGTAGATTTCATTTCCTTTGGCAATTTACTGTTGTACAAGTGTGTGGCAAGCAAGCAACCTTTTCACAGAAATGTTTTCAGATAGCAAATTTGGAGTTCACAATTTGAACACGAAAACATGCAACCTGAACGATGTCTTCCTTGATTTACGTCAAAAGAAAAGTGCCCTCACTTATCCAGAAATGCTTGGTCAATTTCGAATGTTTAAACAGTGCACTTTCAGTTCATATAACTCCAAAAAAAGTCAAACAATCTTCATACATTTAAGAAAAGTACAGAGATATACAAAAAGTGATTCTAAGAAAAATTTATTTCATGGATCCTTAACCCTAACCGCCCAAGGGTTGCTGGACCTAACCTTCCCCAATCACTCTAACTTCAACACCTTGGAAAAACACTCTTACCTCAAAGTTCCCAATCCCACAGACTTCAACAGTACTTCTGTTGCAAGAGTACCTAATCCCACAAATTCCAACAGGTCTTTACTTGTGTGATTTTGTTTGGTTGGGTACAGCAGGCCCATGGCACAGTACAAAGAGTATGGACAGGCAGTACCTCTTCAAACAAACTCACACACCATCATGCTGCATATCCATCCCCAACTGCTGGGATAAAGTGAGAGGGCCACAGTACCCATTCAGTCAAAAGTCAACAGGGTATGTGCAGGCCCACAGAACCCATTCACACCAAATGAAACACCAGATACAAAGCTACCAGTGCCCAATGCCACAAACTCACACACTTTACTGGCGTTGGATTCTGTGTGGTTAGGGAAGGTTAGGGTTAAGCTGGCTTACTTACATGTACTCGTAGAGTGGCTTGAAACCTAAGAGGCCAACCACTGTTACTGCGACACGCACACTGGACTCCATGAACAATGGAAAATACAAGTGCCCCCCCAAAAAAGGCTACTTGATGTGCCCAGTAGTCCTACATACCACTGTGTTCACTGTAGTGCACGTTGACATAAAACAGAGATTGTCGTATGCCGTAAGTGGAGGAAAAGCTGCATATGCATGTTATATTTGATCACAGGTATAAAGTGACAGGCAAAATCTTCCAGTTGTGGATGATAATTTCTCTGGAAGATTCAAAACGAAAGTTACATGAAACTGCCTTCTTGAAACGGAGATAACTGTACTCATTCTTATTGTGGACCTCACGCTGGACCAAGAGAGGGCGCTATTTCCTTAGCAACGGAGGCTCCTTTGGTACTAACTGTGGCCGTTTTCCCAATACTCAACTTAGTCTCCGTCTCAGGCTTCATTCCCAAAACCAATCCCCGATTGTGGGCCTGAAGCGTTTAAATTACATTGGATTACTCTAATTTTCGGCTCTCTTACATCTTATTTGATGTTCTGTGGCACTATTACAGCTTCAAAGTCAGGTAGTAAAAAACAGTTGAAGCCTGAGACGGAGCTGAAGTTGGGTATTGGAAAACGGCCAGTGCATCCCACGTTCACAAACAACTAGGAAACGCAAGTGTTGCAGTCGCATCACTACCAACTATATGAATACTCCTGACCAATGCAGCTCTCTTCAAATGATGAGGGGGTGCTTCTGCTCGAGGCAGAGAGCAGTGTATACACAGACGACTCCCATTCAATCCAACCAATGCACTGGGGGGGGGTAAACACCGAGTCTCAGATACGTCATCAGTACACGGGGGCTATCCAACGTCAAGAGGGATCTAGTTCAGTCTCCACTTTGAACGCCTGTCAGGTTTGATCCCACACTGAATACAATGACTGTGGTGGTATTTGTTACCCACAATGCACTGCTTTTCCCTCACAATATTTCAAAATAGAGATCAGTCACCTCGGCAGCTGCAAAGAGTAGAGCCGACCCGAAGGGCGTCCCCGTTGATACAAGTCTTTTTGGATGTGGATGCACAGCAACTGATGAGTGAACTTTGAATTTTTGTCCAAACCCAAAAATAATGTATCAGTTTTCTTCCATCATCTTATACTTTCTAAAATACTTACAGCACGATCAAATATTTCTCTAAGAAAAGAGTAAAATCCATGGGGCTAAAATAACATTTAAAAGTAAAAACAGCTCTTTTCAAATTAAAACCCACATCAAGACGCTCACATAAAACTCTTTTTAAGATCAAATCTGAGAGCAGGACATGTTATGTTATAAACAGAAAACAGTGACGGAAATATACAACAGTTCTCAACTTTCTTTCAAGATGTCACTGTCCACTTTTTTCCACCAAAATTCTCTGCATTAAAATAAGAGAGAGGCTAAAAGCGAAAAAAATGGTGTTAAAGTTTCAAAATAGTTTAAAACTGCATTCCACTTATGACGGCGATTCAATTTCAGAACTTTCAGAAAAATAAAAAGGCACAAGAAATGCGGTACTTCGTGTATTGGTTTGGCAGTGCACAGGACTTTTCCCAGGCTCATGAACAAGTTAACAAGCAGATTACACGTATCCATATGTAGGAGGGGTCAAAACCACCATTTTTAGGGGGTGGGGAGAAAGGGGAGGGGCAGTGAATGACCTCCCCTCCCCACACTTGCTGATCCATTTTTTCATGAATCCACACAAAACTAGGTCATGTGACAATAGGTAGCTATGATGAACATTGCTTCTTTGATGACTAGGATGACGTGCGTTTTCACAAGGTACCCCTTCATCTAAAGGGAGTTTGATGTAAATATGAACAAAATGGCTGGAAAATTTACAGAAACGGATTACAGGGGTCAATCCTAGTGGACAAAGGGGTAGTTGGTAACACACAAGGCATGTACGACTTGCTCAATGATGATTACAAGCAGCACTGGCTAATAAATATTGCAATACCAACTTGGTGGCGGTGAAGAGGCAAGCAAAGCCGGCATCAATCTTCGTCTTTGTAGCGAGCCATGAAACTGGAATGGAACTTCTTGAATCTTTCCATCACGTCCTTGAACTTCTCCACCGACGGCAAGATGGTCATCCTGGAAAACGCACAATTCAGGAATAGAGGTTACGTGTTAACGCGTCCTCAGAGGGCAAGAGCTTTGGTCCCACTGGGAGGGGCTCAAATAAACCTTTTGGTCATTTGTTGTAATTAATTGAAAAACACAAAACCAGCTGCGGAAACATCAGGGAGAAACCAGCAGCGTATAACCTCTACACCCAGTTCTGGAAAACAAAACAAGACTGGGGCCTCTTTTAACACCAGCATTTTCACAAGGGACCTTCCTGAATTTTCAGTCAAAAAATCCTCAACTATGCAAGAAACCAAAGGCGCATTCTTCAAACTTTGAACCGGTGCCACGTCCCATGTAGTGCATGACTATCCAGGCTCTATGTTCCTGAATCCCGCAAATTCTACTAAAACCTGGTGGATTTTGAAAGATCTAGAAGAGTCCAGTAAGCCCTTACTAAGAACTATAGGGGTGTGAGTGGCCACATAAAATCAAAGCTGAAAACAGCCAGCAAAAAGCTGAAATGTAAAAAGTTCCCATACTTTTCTACAGACCAGGAGTACAAAAACGCTGAAATTCAGGGCCAAAATATATTTTAAAAAAAATTAGCTAAAACGCTGCATTCTCACAACCCTAGAAGTAACAATTACTGCAACAAAAAATGTCTGTTTGCATCAGAGGCAGGTGGCTATTTTATGCAAACTCAGTTTGCTAGACATGCTGGACCTGGTACTGTGGAATGTCGCTATACCGAACACCGCCATACCGAACTTTCGGCTGTACTGAACATCGTCCTTGGCTCCCAATACTTCGTGCACAAAATCAACCGAGATTCGCCACGGCATGCATCAGAGATCTATCCTGAGTGGTAGCTACACGACTTTTAGGATAAACTAAATATCAATTTGTAACTCAAGATTTCATAAAAAACAAAAATAGTTAACAGATACATTTCTAGAAACCTCAAAGGTGAATGCAACGGCAAAACATCACGAAAACACTGAATCATAGTATCACAAGAGGGTGCACTTCAGTTAGACAAGAGAGGGCGCTATTCAACATGGCAACGAAACATTCGGCAGTTAATTTCGCTTTACCAAACGACCACTGTATCGAACATTTAACACGGACCCCGTCGTGTTCATTATAGCAGCACTCAGCTGTACAGCACGAATATTCTTGGCAGGTTTTGCCTGGAAAAGTCGTAACCTACCTGAAATGATAGGTGCCAGGCCTTTGTCCGAAGCCGGATCCTGGAACAACGCATATACCAGCCTCCTCTAGTAGGTGTTCGGCATAGAAGGCATCAGGTACCTTGCCAGCCTCCTAGAGGGGAAACATGGCAAGGAAAAAGACAACCTACTGTTATAAAAGTTGTCTTCACACTTGGAGAGGATTGACAAACAGAAAAGAATTTACTTGGGAAGACAACTTGTGCTGCACACGGGCCAAGCACCGGGGGTTGCTGAAGACACGTACTGGCTGCATCCAGAAAATCCGATCCAATTTTCATCATGTTACTTGACAGCTGAATTTGTATGCTAACAGACCCTCTGCCTACTTCACAGAAACCATTCAGTACAGCAAAAGCAAGCTTCAACCCAGAGGAAATGTTGCTTTAACAAGAGATGCAAGTACAGCAATTACCTGGCACATGCAAACACCAGAACATCAATGCTACGAAATGATGCTTGGAATTACGATCTTTTGCTATTAACCACTTC